GGGATGGGGCCGACCAGATGCGGCAAGGGCGCCCGCCTGAGCCCCCGTTGCGTTACACTATTTATCCTGTTATAAGTATACATTTCAGAAAAGCCCCATGTAAAAACTTGATCGAATGATATAAAAAATTGATGACAAGCAAGACACAATACTGTTAGCCATTACCATCAGTTGACAGAAATGACCCTCAGCATCAATGTTAAGCCTTTGACAATATGTTTTATCTTTCTACCACTTACTACAAAAACATCCTTTGTTTTGATCAGCATAAAAAAATGTGCAATAACTTCACAATAGGTCTCCTAAAGTGAACTAATTTGAATGATTTTATGGTAATTCAAGCCATGTGCTTTCCAGAGGTTAAGCCATAAAGAGATTTAATAACATAGTAGTAAACTCACTCTGTGAGATGGCATATTACACAACTCGGCAAAAACAATACTGATTCCCCTTGCCAACTGAGAGTTTGTTCCTGAAAACCTCCACAGTTGGCAAAACCATGGCTGGTACTGTAAATATTTGAACATACCAGAAATATAGGGTTAGGTTCCATGGTCCTTGTTATACTCATCAATACCTAACATAATTTGCAGATTGCTCCCTTAACAATAACAAATACTACATATAACATGAATTACTGTATAATTCAACATACAGTAGGAAAGTGGTGAAACATAATAAAACGTGAAACAGAATGTCATTTTCCTTGAATCATAAAATTTAAAAATAGCAGAAGAAGTGACCATAATTAAGACAACGCTGAAATCATGTTCCTATCATAATGTGAAAAAAAAACGGAACGGAATCCTAGTGGAGAGACACTGGTGGGCGAGGGAGGCGAGATAACAACACATGAAACATGAGTGGGTGGAGTTTAGAAGCAGAACTGTGTATGAGCAATGGTGGGAAGGCTTTTACTCGATATGGAAACCATGTATAAGTGAGTTTCTTAGTAGCTGAACCATAATTGGTGAGGGAAATCTATACACATCAGTAAAAGGAAGAAGAAAGAGCATAAAATGAGCATCTTCTAAAGTTAAGATAAAACAGATTACATATTATAAGATGGGATAAGATGTATATAATATTTCACCCTACAATAGAAAAACAGCAAATTTAAATATGAAGCACAGTCTAAAAAAACATTAACGTAGAAACGTACGGTATTGATTTTCAGAGAAACAGCAGCCCTCAACTCTGTAGTGACCTCGCCAGACTGAAAACAAGACAAAGTAGAAGTTTTCAAGCAAGATATACAGTAACAAACCCAAACAAAACCATGGGTTTGCATAATTAGGTATACAAATAAACATATGTTGTTACAACAGGACTATACAATACACCAAGGAAATTAAAGTTAGACAGAAGTCAAGTCGTTGTATCTAACAATATAGCAATAGATGCAATCTGTGAGTTTAATCTTTACTTTTCTGTAGCTGTGAAATTCATTTTACTGCTTCACGTGTTATGTTGAGAATATTTGATTGTTGTAGCTGGATGATCTTCATTTTGGAAGGTCAGTAATTAAAACTGGTGGAGAGATTTCAGCACTGGGAAGATATTTTCTGCCCTATACTGTGACAGTGGAATAATCTACTGTATGAAGAATAGAATCTATGAAATATCCCAATTATGCCGTGGAGGTGGACCTAAATCTAAATTGTGACAATCTGAAGAATGAACTGTTTATCAGTATAGTGAAGACAATTAAAGATAAACGATGAGGTCAGTTATAATTTTTATAGCTGATAAAATCATCTTTTTTTTAGCACGTTCTGAAGGGCTGATATGTACAGGCTAAATTTGCAGCTTTTATTGCCAAGTGCGTTTTATTATCCTTATAGCAAAGAAAAGTCTGGTGGCAGAGCCATGGCAGCACAGATTGCTTCATTACCATAAAAAACTAAAGATCGTCATGATTTTTCCCCAGACTGTAGGGACCTGAACGTCTTTGTCACAGCAAGTCAATTTTTAGCAGGTTAGTAAAATCACTATTGTGATTGTGTGTTAGTTTTTACCTTTGACCTGTTTGCTTTATGATTTTCTGTAAGCTTTAATGGGGCTTATTTGTTAAATGTGTTGAGCCTTTCACCTCTATGTGGATCTATTAGTTTCTTATGAATTTAAAATATGGTCAAATGATTTATATGTAAATACATACAGTTTAAATGCCACACAATTACAGTGTTAATACAATGATAGTTAATGATCCTGTATGGTAAACACCATTTTGAGTTGTACATAATTTAATTACACAAGTAATGCCCCTATTGGCACCCCCAGTTATATACCTCCACTTGGGAAATGTCAGTAGCAGTTGGTAGATAAAGTGACTCAGGGTTAAAACCCTTAACCATAATTAATACTTTTATGCTTAAACTGTACATAGGTGAAAGAAATGTAAGCAAAACTGCAAAGAAAAATCAAAATGTAAAGTACTGTATGTTGATGGCTTACTGAAGTATTTATTCCCTAGAGCCCATACTTGGTAGAAGCACCTTTGGCAGTAATTGCAGCTGCGAGTTATGATAAGTACAGTACCACCTTTGCAGACTGATTTTCACCCATTTATCTTTGCAAACGTGTTCAAGCTCTGTCAAGTAGGTTGGGGATTATTGATGGGCAGCAATGTTCAGGTCTTGCCATAGATTTTCTATCACATTATAGTCAGGACTCAAGTGTAAATGCCAGATTTATTTTCTGAAAATGATATACAGTAACTGACCACAAAGAAAAAAGATAAGAGCAAAAATGAATTCATATTCCAAACGTAAATAAAATTCTATAAAATAAAAAGAATCAAAATATTTTTTTACGTTGTCTGATATTACCTTAATCAATTTGTTGAAAAGAGGTTGTAAATATAACATCCAAAAGTAATGCGAACAAAAGTATTTCCTTTAATATACCGTAGATTCACATAAAAAGGAAATTAACAATTTAAAGGCAATACCCTAAGAGCACAATCGAGTCTAAATTGGACCTCATAGAAAAATACATAATTTCACTTTTTCTTTCTTTTCACAGTTACCACACACCCACCCACATACACAAGCTAAATGTCAGGTAACTAGAAAAAATCCCAACAAAGAGTGAAAATGCAGAATATTAAAACTGGATTAAACTGCACCCTTGAGAAAAACTGAGCCTGAAGTTGATACCTGTAAGTATTCTGCACCCATGTCTCTCTCTCCTGTCATTGCTCAACATAGGTCTGAATCTGGCACATACTGTGATTCTATTGTATGCATTTAGATACCATTCGAGATTTTCTGACATGTTTTTGAGTCCATGCATTATTTTAAAATGTTTATGTATCCATTTTTTCATAAAGTCCTCACTTGTGTTACTTGGCACCTTGGGACATTTATTGGTTTTTCCATTCATTGTTCTTCTCATACTAATGCTGAATTCAGATAGTAGTTTCATAAGGAAATTATCTTGAGGACATAAACATGCCTTTTCCTCCAATATACAGTCTAACTTCATTCCAAGACAAAATACACTTGTAGGGAATTTTCTGGAAATGTTCCATGCACATCTATAAGAACACATCCCAAGTATATTCCCATATTGTTAAAGTAAACCATAGCAAGTGCTAAATTTTCTAGAGTGGAAACTGCTTTAAGGCAAAATAGCATGTCTAATTTGCTACATAAGAAAAAAAGTATGTGACAATGCCTTGATTAACTGTGTAACTGTCATTTCTGTGCATTACTTTGGAATTCCCCTTTATGTACACTAACTTTATATCTATTATACTATATAAACTAGCTTTTGGGAATTATAATCAATGCAAAACAGACATTAGCATAGTAATTGCCCTGCCTAATCCTGCTCAAAAGAAATGTCTGATTAAGCATGAAAGGTTTTTCTATAGTACTTCTACTGTACTAGTGTCCAAGGTTGGTGAAAAAGTTTTATAAATACAGATTAATATTTACAAGCTAAGAATGATAGGAAACTGGTTTTCAATTGGGGAATAATATTATTTTAAAGCATGGTCCTCTTCTCTTGTTCACCCACAGATCACCATTATTCTCTCAGTTCATTATTGCCCTACAGGCTGTAACTTTAGATACCTAGTTGCATAGCACCATGTGGAAATATTATAACAATAGTAAAAAATAATATATAAATATATCTATCTATCTATGAAGATATATAACAAGATTAAGATATAAGTATATATATATTCTAAATATATCTTGATTTGAGTTTAGTTTTCTCCGCTCCATTTGTGGAAGACGGGGGAGGTGGTAGTGTGTGGGCAGAGGTGTTCAGGCTTTTTTGCTTTAAAAATATGAAACAAATTCTCCTTAAACAACTGCCTTTATAAAAACCACAATACCCTCTTTTCAACTGCTGAAGTATGATTTTTCAGGAATTGTATTTTTCTAAGTTACATTTCTCAATAACAGATGACTGAATTCTAATACTAATGATTGAATACAGTTGAAATATTTGTCTTAATGATACAATAAATGGAACATTAACGATTACTATATGTACTGTAGTACTATGCAATATTCTGTCCACACATTACACTATATACAAACTCTCATTTGAGCCTAGTTACTTGCTCAGGTAAACTGAGATGAACTCAAAATGTCCTGGTAACAAGACCTTTTCCTTAACTGCTGAAACACAGAGTCCTTTACTTACATTTCAGGCTAGTAACATTTTCCATACATATTATCATCATATGACCTTTACTATGTCAAACAAGAATGCTGAAAAACTACACCTGTTTTCATATTGGGTTTACTCTGGTTGAATAGTTGAACCCCATTTTTTAATGAAATCTTGACTAACCTAACATTTTCACTGTTGAGAAGATTAAGAAGAACGGTATTAAGAAGCTGAATGTTTGACAATTTAATTTCCTTGCAGGAATATCTACTCAATGCAAAGATTTCACACTGATACTGTCTGTAGAATGAAAATAGTAAACACAATTCTAGAAGTAGAAGGAAGGCTGAAAGGTAATTGCTTTAACAAACCTGGAGCTAAATGGGTAAATATTGCTAGACATAAGTTGAAGGAGAAACTCAGAGCATTACAATAAAATACAGTAATTTGCTTCAAAAGTACTGCATGTACCAGATTCCTAAATCTCTTTGTGTTTCTGGATACATTTTGTTATTACTTAGCAGTAATTAAAATTGGACCCTAACATCCATGATAGAACAAGAAGGTTTTCTAGTTGTTAGTGTACTTTTTTAATGATTATTTTGGTCTAGCTGTTTTATGGCCTTATTTTGACACCTGCACTATGATGAAAAGGTGGTGTACTTTCATGTCAGGCTGTTTTAGTTGCTTAAGGCTTTAAAATAAATAGAAAAGATCTTATCAACTTTGCTACATAAGACATACAGTAAGGGGTGTACAATGCTTCAAGCAGAAACGTGGAGATTTAAAATGTGATCATGCATTGAATCCTCCTAAACATTAACCATTTTCCTTTTTCTAAGCTTTATTCAGTTTCCTTTTTCCTTCATTTTGTTGGATTTGAGTTCATTTGCAAGGCATGAAAAGAAAGTGTATTGGTAGAGGTCTTCTTATTGTTTGAGGGTGGGGATTGCTTATACTGTAATTCCTTGTGGAATCTGCTTTATCAGAGCTACAGAAACGTGATGTGTATAATAAAAGTAGTAAGGAAGCATTACACTGTCAAACTAATCTGTTTTTTTTTCATTAATATAATACATTAAACCATCCAATGAATGCAGATATGTTTCAAAATTCATGATTCCTGAAAATGATCCCACAATAATCAGTTTTGTTCAAAATGAAGCTTTAAAGTGTAATATTTTAGATATTTATAACTATTTTACTGTAACAAGCAATATTTACATCTGCTGTCTACAGTATGTCAAATGTAAACATTATTCTCTCATTACAGTTTTAGTTCCTGTGTATCTGAAATGGGCTGGGAACCAAGTGACAGTACACTGAGAGGTCTTACTCTCTGAGATCACAGGCAGTGAGGGATGTTAGTCAATATTATCAACTCATTGTGTTTTCTTTGAGGAACACTTTGTCCAGTTCTCCCAGCCTTCCTTTCATCTCTTGTATAAAAATAGAGATAGGCTGCTTGGTGAATTTCAAAGTCGATTTGCTGAAGAGTTGCATTATATTTCATTACATTTCAACTTCACCTATACTAGGGTTATAGAAGGGTTATACCAGCACCTCCCAAACTGCTTGTAGCTT